GTAAGAGAACGGACATTTCTCCCCCCAACCCCGCTGTGGGGCGGGAGTTGTCACCTAGATAACTTTACTTAATTATTCAATGTCTGGTTTGCTTCTGTTTTTGCTGTAATATTGTTTAATAATGTGTAATAAAGTTATATAATAAAATATATAATATAATATGGTCCGCATATTTTTGACATGATTTGTAGATTCTTAAAACATTTTTTTTTTTTAATTTTGCTCCGAGGGGCGAGTTTATTGGGCAGCGCCACTCATCCTGTGAGTGGACATACCACCATAGCAACATTTACAACACTCCCCAATAGGAAGAAAACCCGCTGGGTTGTTCATCCTGTCACCTGTACCCAGACATAGCTGGGACTTGTTAAACTGTCTCAAGTAAACAGGTTATCAAACAAGAAGATTATAATTTGTCAATCCTACAAATTTACGTTATCTTGCTGGTGTAAAATGGAGGAATCTTTTTAAGAATAGTATCTACATTTCACAAATTGAATTTTCCTAACTCAAGTAAAAGTTTAGTAAAAGTTTGTGTTCGTATGTTTTGCCTTAGTTTGAGATGCAACGCAAAGTTTATACTAGTTTATTCTCATTGTTACATAAAGCAGTGTTGATAGTTTAAATGTCACAGAAAGATTATGTTAGTTTAGTTTTCTTATTACACAAAGAACAGTGTTATGTTACAGAAAAATTTGTCTTAGTAAGTTCTCTTGTTACACAAATCCTTATTGATAGTTTAGTTATGATACAGAAAGATTATGCCAAGTTTAGATTATGCTATTCTAGTAACATGTGATGTCTTAGTGAAAGTTGTGGCTTATTAAGTTTTGTTCTGGAGAATGTGAGTGAGATTCTGTTTTTATGAGCAAGAGTAAGATTTTTGTTCTAGAGAATGTGAGAGAGTGGTCTTATTAAAGCATCTAGAGATGTGAGAGTGTGCGAATTAGAGATTGACTGTGATGTACAGAGAACAGGTAAGACGTCAACTGACAAACTATTATGTATTAGCGATAAGACCTACCATTAATGTATGATGACTTACTGTAAATATATAGCTCTTGAAATAGCACTTTCTCTGTAGCTAGCTGACATTGTAACTATAAGGTGTGAAGGATAGATGAAATTGTTTATGTAATAATCTAAGATGAGGTCTGATAAAGACCTTTTGTGCCCTTGTTACGGCCCTATTGGGTCGCAACTGGGTTCTTTCTCTGATGTTATTAGAGTTTGGGTATCCGGCCCCAAGTTAGTAGTGGCTTTCAAGGGGTGTGTTCCGTAACGCAAGTAAATTAAAGGGGAAGGGATACAAATACACAAAATTAAATATATATTGCTACCACCACCATAAATAAATATATCACAGTCACACGCGGGGTTGCTATTACTACACTTATTATTTACAATAACTCGTCTTCCTCCGAAGACACGGGATGCTCCATGGTGCTCACGATGAGTAGCCCTGGTCCTCTTCTCGTGGCCTCACGATGAATCCTTAGATTCTCTAGACGAGTCTACCCCAGCCACAGGCCAACCAAATCACAGTCCCATTGGGTGCACCGTCGTGGAGGCCGTCAACCACAAATCCAGCCTATAGCTGGCAGGTTCCAATCAGCTACGCTGCGTAGGCCACTCCACGACCGATACTAGGGTTGCGAGCCCTAGGCAGGAGCCTCGTGTGTTTCCACAGATCACTCTCCTCACCACAACACCCCAGTGGCTAGTCTTCTCCACCAGTCAGCCCCGGGTACGACAATCCCTGGTTCTGCCACCTCACAGGCAGGCTAACACAACAGTGTTCATCCAGGGGGGGGGGGGTGACTCACAGCTTCTGCAGCAAACACTTGGAGATACTATGGCTGCCTTGGGTAGACTGATCCACCGTCCGATTCAGCCGTCCCAGGTCGACTCTGTAATCAGACACGTCATTAGTACTCGGGACACTCTAGGGCACCTCACTTACAGGCTTAGACACAAACGTCCACCCATCCACTCCATAGATGGCGTTGCTGTCTAAGCGTCACCTCACCAGAAGTCAGCAGCGGCTGTGTCACGAGCTGATTAGGACAGGAAACCAGACCCTGTGGCCGGTATATCTCGTCCTCACTAGATGGCGTCGTCCATTTGGAGGGGGTTTCGGGAGCTGACCCACAGATGGCGTGGTCGTCACTGCTCCGTGCTCGGACGCTGGACTCGGGTCCGTAACAGCCCTCTGTAATGCTTTTGCGCTACCGCTCACAGGATGAGTATGGGGTGCACAATAAATTAGCCGCCTTCGGCAGCAACAATCAAATGACAGTTTTGTCAAAGGAAAGATGTTTCATAGTAAACGTTTGTTACAGAAACGTTTTGACTTAAAAAATGTTGTCTTAGAAAGTTGACTTAGTATTTGAGTATCGAACTGACATTGAATTTGAGTATTGAGGAGAAGTAAGAAGTTAACTGATATACAGAATACCAAAGTAATATTATTGGTACAGAGAACGTGTGCATACTTGCTTAAAAGTTGGCTAACGGTTATTGGAATATGTTCTATGAAAATGTTTGTCTGTCTGTCTGTCTGTCTGTCTGTCTGTCTGTCTGTCTGTCTGTCTGTCTGTCTGTCTGTCTGTCTGCTGACTCTTTTGACAGGGGGAGAATATGTTAGTTAACTAGGAAATACAACCCTAACCAAACATCACTTCTAACAACACTAACACCACTACTGACACCATCAACACCAGTAACACTATCACCACCACCACTAACATTACCACCATCAACACCAGTAGCACTATCACCACCACCACTAACATTACCACCATCAACACCAGTAGCACTATCACCACCACCACTAACATTACCACCATCAACACCAGTAGCACTATCACCACCACCACTAACATTACCACCATCAACACCAGTAGCACTATCACCACCACCACTAACATTACCACCATCAACACCAGTAGCACTATCACCACCACCACTAACATTACCACCATCAACACCAGTAGCACTATCACCACCACCACTAACATTACCACCATCAACACCAGTAGCACTATCACCACCACCACTAACATTACCACCATCAACACCAGTAGCACTATCACCACCACCACTAACATTACCACCATCAACACCAGTAGCACTATCACCACCACCACTAACATTACCACCATCAACACCAGTAGCACTATCACCACCACCACTAACATTACCACCATCAACACCAGTAGCACTATCACCACCACCACTAACATTACCACCATCAACACCAGTAGCACTATCACCACCACCACTAACATTACCACCATCAACACCAGTAGCACTATCACCACCACCACTAACATTACCACCATCAACACCAGTAGCACTATCACCACCACCACTAACATTACCACCATCAACACCAGTAGCACTATCACCACCACCACTAACATTACCACCACCACTACCACCACTGTACACCGGTTGCTACACCTCTGAGCTAACATCAAGCACGACCTTGATTCCATACGACAGAGAACAAGTTATTTCCTGCAGGTGGCGTGGAGTAGCGACCCCCACACGCCCACCACACCTTCACCCCCACACGCCCACACGCCCACCACACCTTCACCCCCACACGCCCACCACACCTTCACCCCCACACGCCCACCACACCCCCCACACCTCCACACCTCCACACGGCCACCAGACACCTCACTCACATGCCTATAACTCACAAGCCCGTAGACGCTCTCAAATTCACGAACGCACAAACACATTTTTTCGGCACAAAAGTGATATAAAAATATTAGAAAGTTCACATTTACAAACAGAGTGGCAGACGGTTTGGAACAAAAGCTGAGAGAGAGGGTGGTGGAGGCCAACACCGTCAGTATGACACAGCGTCACGTGACAGTGCTGGGACGACGGGTCTCCACCAGCGTAGTTCTCGCCCTGTAACTACACTTCGGTAGTTACACTTGGGGAATTACACAGTTGCTCGCAGCCGAGCAGACAGCACTCATGGGTTATAGTCCAAAGGGCCCGGGTTCGGTTCCCGTTCGAGGCAGAAACAAATGGACAGAGTTTCTAACATCTCTGTTCACCTAGTGTTAAATAGGTACCTGGGAGTTAGACAGCTGCTATTAGCTGCATCCTGGGGTGTGTGTGTGCAACGGCCAGACAATTAGGCCTCTCCTCTCTCTTTTTCCTATTCCTCCTCCTCCTCTCTCCTCCCTCCCTTCTCCCCTCTCCCTATTATCCCATACTTGGGGTAAGAAACTGAACCATATACATTAAATTGCCCCCCCCCCTCTCTCTCTCTCTCTCTCTCTCTCTTCTGGACTGTTGTTGTTATAGATTTAGCTACTCGGAACAAGTTCCAAGTAGCACGGGCTATGGTGAGCCCGTGGTGGACTTACCTGGCACAGGAGCGGTGCTCGTCTCTTCTGGACGATGAGGTGAGGTTAACTACCGTTTAGAATGAAGGAGACCCGTCACCACTCCCCTCTGTCGACTGTGTCTGACAGTATCCAGGTTTGGGGGGAAAACTTCACCTCTTGGGATTTGTAGTTCTCATTGGCCAACGGTGTAGGAGAACCTAAACTTGGTTCAGATGAATTGAATGTAGAATGAAATTTAATTGGAGCAATGAGGTGACTCGAACCCGCAATCAGGCTACTGATGATCAAAATGTCACCACCACCGCCACTTACACTGTCATCGTCACTGTTACCAACACCACCACTAACACTGTCTGCACCACCACCAACACTGTCAACACTGCTACACACTCTCTCGTCCTTCTCTATTTAGAATTTCCTCCCAAACTGGTGTCTGAGCAGCTCGACTCTTGTGTAAACAAACTTTAGTTAATACGTTGACCCGTCACAGCGTATTAACAAACAGTGGCAGACTTGCTCAGGCAGCAGAGCTGTGTGGGGGGTCCTCTGTGTGTGTGTGTGTGAAGTGTGTGGCTCAAGGAGGCACAGGGACGGTCATACTCACTCCTTCCTGTCATCCGCCAGGTGGTCGACCACACCATGACTACCAACAGCAAGTTTGACGATCTTCTCGCCCAGCTGGGGACGGGCAAGTGGAACTTCATGTTCTTCGTCGCTATTGGATACTGTAAGTCTCGGTCGTGTGTGTGTTTGTGTGTGTGTGTGTGTGTGTGTGTGTGTGTGTGCGCGCGCGCGTATAAGAATTTTTTGCGTGCATGTTAAAATGATCTATGGAGCACTAATATAGATTTAAATTCATTGCATAAGCATATTATAAATCTTTGAGAGGAACCTTCAGTTATATGTGAAGAACCTTCACTAACCTGTCTGAATGAAGAGAACCCTGATCTAGCGCACAGGAACCCCCTCGGTAGCGCAGACTTTGAAAGCCGATACAACTGTTCAGTAACCCAGCGCCCTTGTGTCCCAGAAGATGTTAATAATAATAATGTGTCCCAGGGAACATGCATCTGGCGCCGGCCATCCTCTCCTTGCCGTTCCTGGCGCCCCAGGTCGACCACACCTGTCTGCCCCCGGACAACGGCTACACCGTCACCTCCTACACCGTCGACTCACACGGAAACAACATCACCAGCACGTGAGTTTATTTTTCTTTAATGCTTTTAATCTACGGGAGAATACACGTTTTATTTCAGAACTAAGAGTTCCTCTGTTTACTAATCAAGGGTGATCACGACAATTTATATCTATTAAATATAATGTCTGTCTCTCTGTCCAAGCTAGGATGCCAGATGCTTTAAGTTACCCCTCACCCAATTTTCCAAGATGACACATTGGGTGGGGGGGTATATGAGTGTCATAGGCCAGTTTGAGACGGCTTTAGTGCCAACTTCAAGAAATCTTAGCGTCTATAATGACCCCACAACGATTTTCGTGGTATGAAGTCTGGGATGTGTTTTCCTTAGAGTTTTAGCAGTTTAGTTTATAATATTAAATTTTATAAGTGAAAGAGAGGAGAACAGAGAGATGAATGAGAGAGGGGAGAAAGATGGTAGAGAGGGAAAGAAGTCAGAGAGGGTAGGGGAGAGAGGGAAGGAGAAGGTGGGAGTGAATGGTAAAAGGGGTGAGAAGTGGGATGTTAAGGGGAGAGGGGAGGTGAGGAATTAAAGAAGAGAAATGAGAGAGGGGGAGATTGGGAGAGACCCGGGCACAGCCGGGCACCCCAATCTAGTCTGTTTACAACTGTCTTTCTGCCATGTGGTTCCGTTATATATATATATATATATATATATATATATATATATATATATATATATATATATATATATATATATATATATATATATATATATATATATATATATATAACTGAAAACTCACACCCCAAAAGTGACTCGAACCCATACTCCCAGAAGCAACGCAACTGGTATGTACAAGACGCCTTAATCCACTTGACCATCACGACCGGACATAATGAGGTGATAGCCGAGGCTATTTGAACCACCCCACCGCCGGCACTCGGATAGTTATCTTGGGCATAGCATTTTACCAAATCACCTCATTCTTTGGGGCACACGTGAGGAACACAAATGCGAACAAGCCTGAATGGTCCCCAGGACAATATGCAACTGAAAACTCACACCCCAGAAGTGACTCGAACCCATACTCCCAGAAGCAACGCAACTGGTATGTACAAGACGCCTTAATCCACTTGACCATCACGACCGGACATAATGAGGTGATAGCCGAGGCTATTTGAACCACCCCACCGCCGGCACTCGGATAGTTATCTTGGGCATAGCATTTTACCAAATCACCTCATTCTTTGGGGCACACGTGAGGAACACAAATGCGAACAAGCCTGAATGGTCCCCAGGACAATATGCAACTGAAAACTCACACCCCAGAAGTGACTCGAACCCATACTCCCAGAAGCAACGCAACTGGTATGTACAAGACGCCTTAATCCACTTGACCATCACGACCGGACATAATGAGGTGATAGCCGAGGCTATTTGAACCACCCCACCGCCGGCACTCGGATAGTTATCTTGGGCATAGCATTTTACCAAATCACCTCATTCTTTGGGGCACACGTGAGGAACACAAATGCGAACAAGCCTGAATGGTCCCCAGGACAATATGCAACTGAAAACTCACACCCCAGAAGTGACTCGAACCCATACTCCCAGAAGCAACGCAACTGGTATGTACAAGACGCCTTAATCCACTTGACCATCACGACCGGACATAATGAGGTGATAGCCGAGGCTATTTGAACCACCCCACCGCCGGCACTCGGATAGTTATCTTGGGCATAGCATTTTACCAAATCACCTCATTCTTTGGGGCACACGTGAGGAACACAAATGCGAACAAGCCTGAATGGTCCCCAGGACAATATGCAACTGAAAACTCACACCCCAGAAGTGACTCGAACCCATACTCCCAGAAGCAACGCAACTGGTATGTACAAGACGCCTTAATCCACTTGACCATCACGACCGGACATAATGAGGTGATAGCCGAGGCTATTTGAACCACCCCACCGCCGGCACTCGGATAGTTATCTTGGGCATAGCATTTTACCAAATCACCTCATTCTTTGGGGCACACGTGAGGAACACAAATGCGAACAAGCCTGAATGGTCCCCAGGACAATATGCAACTGAAAACTCACACCCCAGAAGTGACTCGAACCCATACTCCCAGAAGCAACGCAACTGGTATGTACAAGACGCCTTAATCCACTTGACCATCACGACCGGACATAATGAGGTGATAGCCGAGGCTATTTGAACCACCCCACCGCCGGCACTCGGATAGTTATCTTGGGCATAGCATTTTACCAAATCACCTCATTCTTTGGGGCACACGTGAGGAACACAAATGCGAACAAGCCTGAATGGTCCCCAGGACAATATGCAACTGAAAACTCACACCCCAGAAGTGACTCGAACCCATACTCCCAGAAGCAACGCAACTGGTATGTACAAGACGCCTTAATCCACTTGACCATCACGACCGGACATAATGAGGTGATAGCCGAGGCTATTTGAACCACCCCACCGCCGGCACTCGGATAGTTATCTTGGGCATAGCATTTTACCAAATCACCTCATTCTTTGGGGCACACGTGAGGAACACAAATGCGAACAAGCCTGAATGGTCCCCAGGACAATATGCAACTGAAAACTCACACCCCAGAAGTGACTCGAACCCATACTCCCAGAAGCAACGCAACTGGTATGTACAAGACGCCTTAATCCACTTGACCATCACGACCGGACATAATGAGGTGATAGCCGAGGCTATTTGAACCACCCCACCGCCGGCACTCGGATAGTTATCTTGGGCATAGCATTTTACCAAATCACCTCATTCTTTGGGGCACACGTGAGAAACACAAATGCGAACAAGCCTGAATGGTCCCCAGGACAATATGCAACTGAAAACTCACACCCCAGAAGTGACTCGAACCCATACTCCCAGAAGCAACGCAACTGGTATGTACAAGACGCCTTAATCCACTTGACCATCACGACCGGACATAATGAGGTGATAGCCGAGGCTATTTGAACCACCCCACCGCCGGCACTCGGATAGTTATCTTGGGCATAGCATTTTACCAAATCACCTCATTCTTTGGGGCACACGTGAGGAACACAAATGCGAACAAGCCTGAATGGTCCCCAGGACAATATGCAACTGAAAACTCACACCCCAGAAGTGACTCGAACCCATACTCCCAGAAGCAACGCAACTGGTATGTACAAGATGCCTTAATCCACTTGACCATTACGACCGGACATAATGAGGTGATAGCCGAGGCTATTTGAACCACCCCACCGCCGGCACTCGGATAGTTATCTTGGGCATAGCATTTTACCAAATCACCTCATTCTTTGGGGCACACGTGAGGAACACAAATGCGAACAAGCCTGAATGGTCCCGAGGACAATATGCAACTGAAAACTCACACCCCAGAAGTGACTCGAACCCATACTCCCAGAAGCAACGCAACTGGTATGTACAAGACGCCTTAATCCACTTGACCATCACGACCGGACATAATGAGGTGATAGCCGAGGCTATTTGAACCACCCCACCGCCGGCACTCGGATAGTTATCTTGGGCATAGCATTTTACCAAATCACCTCATTCTTTGGGGCACACGTGAGGAACACAAATGCGAACAAGCCTGAATGGTCCCCAGGACAATATGCAACTGAAAACTCACACCCCAGAAGTGACTCGAACCCATACTCCCAGAAGCAACGCAACTGGTATGTACAAGACGCCTTAATCCACTTGACCATCACGACCGGACATAATGAGGTGATAGCCGAGGCAATTTGAACCACCCCACCGCCGGCACTCGGATAGTTATCTTGGGCATAGCATTTTACCAAATCACCTCATTCTTTGGGGCACACGTGAGGAACACAAATGCGAACAAGCCTGAATGGTCCCCAGGACAATATGCAACTGAAAACTCACACCCCAGAAGTGACTCGAACCCATACTCCCAGAAGCAACGCAACTGGTATGTACAAGACGCCTTAATCCACTTGACCATCACGACCGGACATAATGAGGTGATAGCCGAGGCTATTTGAACCACCCCACCGCCGGCACTCGGATAGTTATCTTTGGCATAGCATTTTACCAAATCACCTCATTCTTTGGGGCACACGTGAGGAACACAAATGCGAACAAGCCTGAATGGTCCCCAGGACAATATGCAACTGAAAACTCACACCCCAGAAGTGACTCGAACCCATACTCCCAGAAGCAACGCAACTGGTATGTACAAGACGCCTTAATCCACTTGACCATCACGACCGGACATAATGAGGTGATAGCCGAGGCTATTTGAACCACCCCACCGCCGGCACTCGGATAGTTATCTTGGGCATAGCATTTTACCAAATCACCTCATTCTTTGGGGCACACGTGAGGAACACAAATGCGAACAAGCCTGAATGGTCCCCAGGACAATATGCAACTGAAAACTCACACCCCAGAAGTGACTCGAACCCATACTCCCAGAAGCAACGCAACTGGTATGTACAAGACGCCTTAATCCACTTGACCATCACGACCGGACATAATGAGGTGATAGCCGAGGCTATCACCTCATTATGTCCATATACCTGCAGTATATGGCCGGTTTCATACATACCTGCATACTGCAGGTATGTTGACGACATTTTTACACAGGTACCTGATGTCAGACATCTGCAGGAGCTGAAGGAGGCATTTGAGCAGAGTTCCGTGCTGCGTTTCACTTACGAGACGGAAAAGGATGGGAAGCTGCCTTTTCTAGATGTAACAGTCATGGAAAAGGGCGGAGGTTTCCACACTGCAGTCTACACTAAGGAAACAAACATAGGAATGTGCCTAAATGCCAACAGCGACTGCCCTGACAGGTACAAGAGGAGTGTTGTTAACGCATACGTCGACCGTGCTCTCAGCCACAGCTCAGAATGGAAACAAGTCGACGAAGAACTCTGTAGGGTAAGGCAGGTCCTAGTCAATAACGGCTTCTCCAATGGTTTCATCGAAGACATCATAAGAAGGAAAGTGAAAAGCCATGCAACCTCTGAAGAGACAACTAACACAACACCTATACCC